CAATCTTTTCATGTTTAACGAGCCTATGTGAGCCGAGACACGCCCGTTCGCCTGGATTTGTGCACATGAGTGCATGTACATGCACGTTTGACGCGACGGAGCTTGAAACAGTCAACCAGTCTCATATGACTTAATGACAAAACGGAGTGGTCGATTCAGGGATGTTTTAGAGAAGACAGACCCTATTGGTACCCATGAATTCCACTCAACAACAAATTTAGACATCAGTAATGCGGCATCCATCCGCAAACCGCTTTCGATGCCTGCATCACTCTTGTCAGCGACATTAGGGCCATTGCAGTCGCCGTGACAATTATTTGTGGTAGTGTCAATATTATTAGAAATTACCTGGAACGATAACAGCAGTATGGAAAAAACGCTTTGATAAATCAACTCTCTTTAGAAAACGCTTATAGTAATGTGACAGTGAGTATGGCTGTGTGCATGTGTACGTCTCTGCTTGAGCACGTCATGGGTTACTAAAAAGACATTTCAGGAAAATGAATGAATGAGAATATCGGAGTGGCCTGGTTGATTCTTAAGATTTCTAGACAATGAGCACATCCATGCAACCGTATTGACAAGGTTCAGCTTATGATGGTTTTATCAGTAGTCAAGTGTGCAATAGCCGGCAACACAAGTGGAGTAGGCGGAATGAAGGCGTCAAGGCACCTACGGACATTCATAAAACTAACTGCAAAGCTGTATGAATACATATTCCCCTAATCTTGACGCCAACCTCATTCACCGTGGTAGAGCTCGGTCCCCATCTCCTGAGCCCACAAATACAAACAAATATCAATCTGTCTGTAGGGCTGTTCTCTCAATTTCTTCTTGAGATGTATGCACAAATGTGCTCATGTTCACAAGCGTTTTATGATCCAAATGCTCAGCCAAGTACTTAAAAGATTGTAACCAGAAGATGACTGTTGTTTTAAGGAGTTAAGGATCAAATCAGCTCATTCAATATGCCTTGCAATATGCAGGTAGAGTTGACTCCAGTGTGCAACACATGGTCAGAAAGAGGAGCCACAATTTGGGAGAACAGAATCTATATTTTGCACAAGTCCCGTTAGAGTCGGACTAGTGACAAGTAACTTCAGATGTATAAAGAGTAAGATCAACTGGGTCTAAATGAATCTCCTAGTATATAATTTTTGTCTGTCACGTCACTTTACCGACATCATCGAAGCTGGACCTTATTCTTGTTACAGCCCTAAACCAACATAAAATCATCAAGAACTACTCATCCCTGATACACTATAGATAATCAGAAAAAAATGAATTATAGGAAGAAAAGTGTCCATGCACTGGTGTGTATGTGTCTGAGTGTGAGTTCAGGTACTAAACCACAAGTGTTAGCTCCGAATAATTATAATAGGTCAAAACATTCTTCCTAGGTTGTCAAGGCTACACACAAAGAAGGATATGAAAGCTAAATAACCACATCGCCTTATATATAAAATTCATTTTCGATAGTACTTACATATCGAATAGGGATGAGTTGGTTAGACTCAGCTTTATCTCGTTTTCTCAGAGAGACTTCGATAAATGTATGCGATAAATGTATGTCTTTTGCCTTTATTGTCATGACTTCTTTCCTTTGAAAACAATGGAAGAGGAAACATAACGGAATA